GCCCCCACTCTGTGCCCCAAGCTGCTCAGGACCCCCTGCCACCAAGCAGGGGAGCCGTGTCAGCGACTTTAGGAGCAGTGACAGCGTCTGCCACCATCAGCCCTAGGGGCCCCTCAGTCCCAGGGAGATGGCCTCCTGTGACAGCGCAGGTTGGTGTGCCGCAGGCCAGGGAGTGTGCTGGTCTCTGTGCACCTCCACAGGCTTGGAAACTTAATCGACGGAATCAACTCAAACTGATCCTCTGAGAACCGCTTTCTTGTAAGCAGCCCCCTCTGTACAAAGCCAGAGCTCAGGAACCTCCCAGGGTCCATTGCTAATCACAGAAATGGGGACACAGGTTCCCCTTAAAAACAGAGTGCAGCATGGTGCTGAGTAGGGTGGGGGCAGTTCCAGATCCAGAGCAGAAGATCCGGAGCCGGGATTCGAACCCGAACCCAGCAGGCTTGCTGGCTCTCCTGATCTGCCTACCTCCTGGCCACGTCCCAGGAAGGCCTTGCCCCTGGCCTCTCGCCCACCCCCCAGAGCACTCACAGGCCACAGTCAGAGAGACGGTGTCACTTTTCTGAAGAATGTCTGGGAAGCTCTCGTATCTCTGTATGACGCACTGCAAGGTCCTGTCATGGCGGCTGACCCTGCGGATGACCAGCGTCCTGCCGTCTGCAGATATGGCTATGCGCTGACTGGCCGAGACGGGCACGCTGTTCCGGTACCACTCGATGTGGGAGGCGTTGGTGTGGCATTCGGCCGCCACGGAATCCAGGTTCTCCACCACGGAGCTGGCGTTGGCCGAGATGACCGGTGGGGGACCCAACTCTGGGTGAAGCAGGGGAAGAGGGTTAGGTGTGGGGCCTGGCCCCCAGCTCTGCTCTCCCAGGGTGGTCTTGGGGTGTGTGGAAGAGAAGCCAAGAGCTTGGAGCTCAGAGGGCCGGAGAAGCAGGGCGTGGGCAACCAGCTGCCCAGGTGGGCCCTTGCCTGGGCCCCTGCTGCCCATCTGCTGCAATATGATCAGCTCTTGGCATACGACGGGGACTGATGGTTTCTGAACCCCAAACCAGGAACCCCCATCCGAGGAGCCAGGAGAGATGGCATCTGGACCCCCCATGGGCTCCTGGTACCTGGGTCTGGTTCACTTTACAAATGCTCCCTCCGACCTACAGCAGGCCACAGGGTGGGAACCTCCCATGCCACGGAGGAGGACACTGGGGGTCACAGAGAGAAGACCCCTGGCTCAGGGCTGTGCAGCGCTCTGAGTCAGAGGCAAACGCAGCTCCCTGTCTTCCCCGTGGACAGTCTCCTCCCCTGGAGCTGTCTGGTGGCCCCTGGGTTAGGCTCTGTAGAATGTCCACCCTGAAGCATGGGAGGGGCTGGTGGCTTGTGTCCCATCTGTAGATAGGTGGGGGGTGACATCCTATCACTGCTTTTCGTTATATAGGATTCCATCTCAGCCAACTAGAGAGGGATTCCCACTGACCCTAAAGCCATATGAGAAATGCCCGTGGACAGAGCCAAGGCGGGTCATCGCAGTGTCTTCTAGGACCCCAGGGCTCTGCTAAGCAGCCACAAGAAACAAATTCGGTCATCAGCCTGCAGGAGCCTGGACGTGGCTTCTCCCCCAGCTAATCCTCTACAAGGGACCAGCGCTGGCCAGAGTCCTTGGGAGACTCAGAACAGAGACCAGCTGAGCGTCACCTGGACCTCTGGCCAGCAGGAGCTGTGTGGTAATGCAGGGGTGACCTTAGGCAGCTGGCCTGAGGCTGGGTGTTATGCAGCAGTAAAAAGTCACACTTTCCCACATGAAACCAGAGCCCTGGAGGTGGCGAGCGGCCCTGTGCGCAGGGGAAGCTGGGGGCCATTGCCAAGGCTCCCTGTGCCGTGCCTTCCAGAGACACTCAGCCTGCACGATCTCCAAGGTGTCCCCTCCTAGAGCCCTCGGGTCCAGCTCCCGTCTGCGGTGGGCAAAGGGACCACCTGCCATTCACCTAGAACCTCCAGCCAGCCAGTGGCTCTTTGGGTCCCGTGGCCAGTGTCCACCCGAACCGTGTAGTTCCCCGTGTCATTTAAGGTGCACTTCCTGAAGGACAGGTAGCCTTTGCTGGTCACCGTCACCAGGTCGCTGTACAAGGGCCCAGGGACGTTGGAATCGGGGGGCCTGAAGCTGATGATCATGGTGTCCGCGCTGTCCTCTGCGCCCCGGTACCAGCTGTATTCCTGAACACCCTCGGGCACGTTCTCCAGGGCCAGGATATTCCTGTGTCTCTCAACGGCAGTGAGTGAGTCTGGGCTGATGAAGAGCTGCCCGGAGGCCTGGCGCGGCCCACAGGCCAGCAGGCTGGCTGCCACTGGTAAGAGAAGAGGAGAGACTGAGTCCTGAGCCACCAGGGGTGGCCCCCGGAA